ATGGCACCGTATAAAGCATTATATGGAAGGAAGTTCAAAACGCCACTTAATTGGTATGAACTAAGGGATCAGGAAGTTCATGGCCCAAACTTGAATAAAGAAATGGAGGAAAAGGTTCAAGTGATTCAGTATAATTTAAAAGTGGCATCAGACAAACAAAAGTCATACTCCGCTTTAAAAAGAAAGGAGATTGAATTTCAAGTAGGTGATAAGGTATTCATAAAAGTATCACCTTGGAAGAAAGTACTTCACTTTGGGCATAAAGGAAAACTGAGTCCTAGGTTCATTGGACCTTATAAAGTTCTGAAAAGAGTTGGACCAGCAGCCTATCAATTAGCGTTGCCACCAAAGATGGAAAAGATCCACATGTCTTCCATGTATATATGCTTCGGTGATATCGATCAGATCCTGCACACATCATAACTCCAGATGAAATAGAAGTTTAATCTGATTTGACATATGAGGAAGAACAAGTTCAAATCTTAGCGTTTAATATCAAGCAGTTGCGGAATAATATGATTCCACTAGTTAAGGTCTTTTGGAGAAACCATAAAGTAGAAGAAGTTACGTGGGAGCGTGAAGAAGATATGAGGAATCAATATCCAAACCTCTTTGTGCAATGAAAATTCGAGGATGAATTTTCTTAAGGGGGAGATTTGTAACATCCCAATCATCGAACTAGTGAACAGAATGTAAAAATGTTAAACTCAATGGTTGAATTAGAAGAAATTGATAAATCTAATGATTTTTGGTGGAATTTCTTGTAGGGATGATAGCAATTTTGTAATCATGGAGAGGGAAAAATGGCCTTTTCATGTTAAAGGATAAATATATCCTTTATTAGGAGATAAACACATGTTTTGGAGTTATCTGGAATCCTTTCTTTCTCTCTTCTTCTTCTTGCCGTGGACTCCTCCATTCAAAGGTAAGTTTGATAAAATTTGTTGGTTTTTTTTAATTTTTGGTTTGATAATGAAAGTTTGGGTGTTATATAAGCTTAAGGAAAGCTTATATAGGATTACAACAACAATAAGAGTATATTAGAGATGAAATTATAAAATGGGTGTTAAGATGAATTGTTATATAGTGTAGCTTTTGGAGTTTTATTTGAATATTTGACTTGTCAATGATTAAATTAATAAGGTAGGAGTATTGGAAATAATTAAGAACATGTTTGAAAGTTTGGCAAGATTTTTAGATTAAAGTGTTTACATAATATTTTGGATAATTAAGAGTAGTAAATGAGTACAAGTTGGTTTGGATGTATAAGGGTGAGCTTAGAGGCTTAATGTGTGTTAAATATAAGAGATTTAAGAAGATTTTGTTTTATTTTCAAAGTGAAAATAGCCATTCTGAGCATGAAGTATCGATACCATTAGAATAGTACATAAACTTCAAGGTTAAATTTGTGTATTTCTAAGGGTAGTATCCATACCATTGAAGAGGGTATCGATACTGAGTTGCTAGTATCAATAACATTGGTATGGTATCGATACCATTTTCAAGATACAATTCCAGAACCTCGGAATGGTATCGGTACCGTTAGGAGGCATCGATACTCCTGTAGGTAAGTATCGGTACTATAGTCGTAGTACCGATACTTCTAGGCATGAAATGGAAATTAAGTGTTTCTTGCATCATAAGTTATCATGATTGAGTATAAGTGTTTCAAAGTACGGTATTGATTATCGATTGTTTTGTGTAGTTGTTGAATATAATCAACTTTCGGTCATCTCGACGTATTCTGTACCAATTCAAAAGTGCTAAAGATGTCATTTAGGACTTCAATGAGGCAAAGGTGAGTGCAACTTTCAGTTTTGTAACAGAAATGCGGAAGGCTTGTGATAAGCCAACCTCATTGTTTTTGATCGAAAATTTTACAATTTCCTTTATGTTACATTACAATATTTAATTTCCTTTATGAGAAAAGACTCTATGTGAAAGTAACTATGTGAATAAGAGACACTTCGAATAATGATCGACAATAATTATGTGATTAGTAGCCCAAGGTATATGTATGAGGATTAGAGGTATAGTTGGCATGCCAAGAGTCGAGGGTTTATGTGGTCATTTGAGACAATTATGTGGTCTTTCGGGACAATTATGTGGCACTTCAGTGCAAACCTATGTGGCACTTTGGTGTAAACCTATGTGGTCCTTCGGGATAATTATGTGGCACTTCGATACAAATTACGAGTTGTGGTGACAACATTAGTGCATGACCTAAATGTACTCAAATACCTAGAGTTCTCAGTAGTATACATTGGGCATTTGAAACAAAGTTATACAAAGTGAATAATATACATAAGTATATCTTTTTTATATGGAAAATAATGAGAGTTCTTTATAAAATGTTCTAATAAAAACAAATAAGATTTCGGTTACTAAGTTAGTACTCTAGTATTTGCCTCACTAAGTATTCGACTTAGTGTGTGATTTTTCCTCACGCGTAGGTTTGAAGAAAGCGGAAGACTTATTGGTTGAGGATAGCATACCACTTGAAGATCAGATCAGGACAATAAATGTAGGTTTTTGTAAATTTTGTAAACCGTTAGCATGTATTATACACTTAATTTGAAATTCTCTGATCGATGTTGTAAACTCATATATTTTGTATCTATGTAAATTATCAAAGCTTTTATGTAAATATAAATGTGAAGTTATTATCTTATTTAAATAAGGTTTATACCTTTTTATTTTGATCAACAAATTTCAAATTGTTCTTATTTGTTAATTACATCTATTTCGAAAAGTCAATGTGACACCTTAGATTCGTATCTGAGTTAGATACAGTTTAGGGGTGTTACACTTCCTTAGTCTTCTATACTAACCAAATATTCAAAACCAACCCAAAAATGAAAGGAATAACCAACTTTAAAATAACTCACCTTGGCAATGGGGTTTACGGTGTGAGAGAAAAAGAAGAGAAAATAACCAAAGCTTCCAGATATTTTTCCCTTTTCTAATCCTCACATGCTTAAATCTTTTTAAAAACGAATTTTAAATTCATTTACTGCTAAAATATCATAATGCCCTTCCATTTATCAATATTTGATTACAAGTCCTAGACAACAATTTTCAAAATCAATCCTTGAACTTTTTAATTTATTCAAATTAAACCACCAAATTTGAAAGACTTTAGTCACTGACCTGATGTTTGGGGTATTACAATTCTCCCTTAAAGAAAATTCATCCTCGAATTTTCACTGTACAAAGAGATGAGGAAACTGTCTTCTCATATCCTCTTCACGCTCTTATGTCGTCTCTTCTACTTTGTGATTTCTCCACAGAGCTTTTACTAAGGGAATCATCTTATTCCTTAGTTGTTTGACTTATTGTGCAAAGATCTGCACTGGTTCTTCCTCACCAGTCAGGTGAGACTGAACTTCTATTTCTTCATGCGATATAATATAAGAAGAATCTGATCGATATCTTATAAGCATATAAACATGGAAAATGTTGTGGATCTTCTCCATTTCTAGTGGCAGTCCTAACTGATAAGCTAGGGTTCCCACTCTCTTTATAATTTCATATTGTTCAATGAATCTAGGACTGAGCTTTCCTTTTTGACCAAACCTAAGCATTTTCTTCCAATGAGAGACTTTAAAAAATACTTTATCTCCTACCTGATACTCAATCTCCTTTTTTTCAAATCCACGTAGGACTTTTGTTTGTCTACTACTACTTTAATGTTATACAAATCATCTGGACTTTTTCTTCTACTTCTATAATCAAATCAGGGCTCATTACATTCCTATCTTTTATTTAAAACCAATTTAATGGTGTTCGTCATTTTGTTCCATATAAAGCTTCATAGGGCGCCATCTTGATACTCGATTGATAACTTTTGTTATAAGAAAACTCTACAAGTGCTAGATACTTTTCCAAAGATCCATGGAAACTAATTACACAAGCCCTTAACATATCATCCAGAACCTGAATTTTCCACTCTGATTAACCATCTATCTATGGGCGAAAAGTCGTGGTAAAGTTCAATCAGGTACCTAATTCTCCATGTAAAGACTTCCAAAACCTCAAAGTGAACTTTGGATCTCTATCAGATACTATTAAAACTAGCACTCTATGAAGTCGAAGTATCTCCTTGAGGTATAATTCGATATACTTATTCATTGAAAAATCACTTGAATAGGAATAAAATATGTGGTCTTTGTTAAACGATCCATAATTATCCAAATTGAGTCCTTTTTGTTTGGCGTCAAAGGTAACCCAGTTATAAAATCCATCGTAACTCTTTCCCATTTCCATTGAGGAATATAGATCGGTTGTAAAAGTCCTGAAGGTAATTGATGTTCAGTTTTCACTTGTTGGCAAGTTAAACACTTTGAAACAAACTGTGTAATAGCTATTTTCATTCCTGGCCACCAATATCACCCTTTAAAGTCTTGATACATCTTGTTTTCTCCTAGATGCACAGTCGATGGACTACAATACCCTTCAAAAAGTATATCTCTCTTCAATTCTTCATCATTTGGAACATAAACACGGTCTCTGAAATATAAACATCCATCTGACTTTACTTCAAAGTCTTTGCTTTCACCTTTTTCTACTTGTATCAATAGTGTTAAACACTTATCATCTCTCCTTTGCGACTCCTTTAGTCTCTCCAACAATAGAGGTCTTAACTATAATTCAGCCATCAGAGCACATTTTCCTTTAATAATACGGGCATCTAACATACGTAAAGCTACAAAAGTCTTTCGGCTAAGCGCATCAGCTTTAATGTTAGCTTTCTCGGGTTAATAATATATGATTGCATCATAGTCTTTAAGTAGCTCGATGCATCTCCTTTGTCTCAGATTAAGATCCTTTTGAGTCAGCAAATTCTTTAAACTTTTGTGATCCGTGTAAATTTAACAACACTCACCATATAAATAGTGGCACCAAATTTCTAGTGCAAACACCACCGCTGCTAACTCAAGATCGTGTGTCGAATAGTTCTTCTCATGTAGCTTAAGCTATCTCGAAGCTTAGTCTACTACTTATCTATCTTGCATTAAAACACATCCCAAACCATTATGGGAAGCGTCACTATAAGTTGTATAATCCTTACCCGATTCTGGTTGCACTAGCACTGTAGCATCCGTTAGAACCTCCTTTAAAGATTCAAAACTCTCTTGGCATCTATTCGTCCAAATGAATGGCACAGATTTCTTTAACAACTTTGTCAAATGGGAGAAAATCATCAAAACGTCCTTTACGAACCTTTGATAATATCCAGCCAATCCCAAGAAACTTCGTACTTCGGAAACATTTCTTGGAACTTCCAAATCTAATATAGCTTTAATCCTCTGAGGATCCACCCGAATCCCTTCTATAGATATCACATGTCCAAAGAATGCCACTTCGGTTAACCAAAACTTGCACTTAGACAACTTAGCATAAAGCTTCTTGCCTCGTAGTGTTTGAAGAATCACTCTAAGGTGTGCATCATGCTCCTCATTTGTCTTTAAATAAACCAAAATATTGTCTATGAAGACTGCCACGAACTGATCGCAATACGGTTGAGATACTCTATTCATGAGATCCATAAATGTTGCAGGTGCATTGGTTAATCCAAACGGCATTATTATTAATTCATAATGGTCATACTGAGTCCTAAAAGTCATTTTTTGAATATCCTTTTCTTTTATCTTCAATTAATGATAGCTAGAGTATAAATCAATTTTGGAAAACACTGAAGCTCCCTTGAGTTGATCAAATAAATCTTCGATTCTAGGGAAAGAATACTTATTGTTTATAGTCACTTTGTTGAACTATCGATTATCAATACAAAGATGCATTGAACCATCTTTACTTTTTACAAAAAACACTGTTGCACGCCAAGGTGACATACTGGGTCTAAAGAATCCCTTATCCTATAACTCTTGTAACTGATCCTTTAACTCACACAGTTCTTTTGGGGCCATTCTGTAAGGAGCCATCGAAATTGGTGTTGTTCTAGGCATTACCTCAATTTGAAACTCAACTTCTCTATCTAGAGGTAATCTTGATAACTCATCTGGAAACACATCTGGAAATTATCGGACCGTCGAAATGTCGTCCAATCTCATCTCCTTGGTTTTAATATCAATCACATTAGAAATGAAAGCATGATATCCTTGAAAAAATAGCTTCTTAGCTAACATTACCGATATCAGATTAGCAAATAGATTAAATCTTTCACTGACCTCTATTACTTCTAATCCATCAGAACTTCTCAACACTATTTTTTTCAATTGGTAGGCGATATTGGCATGATAATGATACAACTAATCCATTCCCAAGATAACCTCGAACTCATCAAAGGGTAATTCCATCAGATTAACAGGGAATTCAACTCCTTGAATCCTTATGGGACACCCTCGACGTAATTGATTCACCCGAGCACTATGCCTTAACGGGTTAGTAACGATAACATCATTACTAGTGGCTTCTAATTGGATTTTCAATTCTCTCACCAATTTACTACTAATATAAGAATAAGATGATCCCAAGTCAATCAAAACCAAAACATATTTATCAACTAATTAAAAAGTACCTGCAATGATCTTCGGATCATCGCGAAATTCATTAGTCTTAAGGTTGTAGACCCTAGCAGTCGAGCACATTTCAGGTTGAGTGGCTGACTCATAATGATTCGTTCTTCTGCCTCGTCATCTACCTCTATGAGGTACATATCAAATCTCTCAAACTGTGTAGGCTCTCCGGTCATTAAAGAACAATCGCAGATAAAATGTCATGTATTCCCACATTTAAAACATGCTCTGTAGACCATTCGACATATGACACTATGATTTTTCCACAATGCTGACATTGACTTGGCCTTCCAGCTCTTGGTTCAGTAGAATGATTCTTCTTAGCTCTCATTAGGTTTGATCTTTTATCTGAGGATGCAACTAATTCAGATCTAGACTAAGGTCGAAAACCCAAACGTTGACTTTTCTTCGATTGTGATGCACTCGACGAGGCATCCGCTCTCATGGTTAACTCGGTCTTCTACTACCCATATATTTCATTATGAGCTCGCTCTAAAGCTCTTGATTTACCACCTCTTGGAATGTAGAAAGGTTCAACGCTATCAATAATTCATTCAATATGGGGCGCAACCCCTCCACAAACTAATTACATGAGTATTTTTCCATAGGGACCAGTTTAGCTGCAAATATGCTCAACTTATTAAACTCACACTCGTAATCATACACAGTGCGATTCCCTTTCTTTAAATTCATGAATTCTTGTTTCATTTTTTGGATGAACTGATCACCGATATACTTATTCTTGAAATCTTCTAGAAAGAACGACCATGTTACTTGGTCTCTAAGAGCTCTCATCAACACATTAGTCCACCATATACACGCTTGACATCGTAGCAATGAGACTACTCCATCCAGCTTCTCTATTTCAGAATAATGAAGACCCTCAAGCATAATCATTATATCGTTGAGCCAAAGATCCGCAGAAATGGAATCTTCATCAATTTATCCCCTAAACTCAGGTGCTCCTAAACTTTTTAACTGCTTCTCCATATTCATCTTAGGAGCTGGGGGAGCATATGGTTGGAGACGCGTCAGAATCGCATCCAATGTCCTGAAAAAGACTCCCTGATCTTGGACAGACACTCCTTGAGGCACGTGCTCTTCACCTTACCTAACTGGGGAAGGTGAATTACTACTTCCCTCATGTCCATCTATCGCTGCACTTCAGGAGCCCTCGTAGTCTGACATCAATTAAGATATAATCACTAACTCTATTAGCAAGGACAATATACTAATCACCCTATCAGATCATAAATTTTTAATATTTTGTTGGCATGTACACTTTTTAAAAACACAAATTGCTTCGTTTCAAACTTGAAATAAGATAAACCTTAGCTTGATACCAATAAATATAACACCCCCAACCTGTACCTGACCCGAATATGAATCTGAGGTGTCATATTAACTTTTCAAAATGTTGACTTTTTGAAAACTCATTGAAAATTTAAACTTTTAATGGTATTTAAGTGGTGAAACCCTTATAACAAGGTTATTGTTTAAAATTCATAGTTCACAATGAAAATAAATACTTGATAATTTACATAAATGTAAAATAGTATGATTACAAAACTAATTAGGGCATTACAATTTAAAACTTTATGATGCATGCCAACAAAATTACAAAATGATAATAAACCTACAGTTCATATTGTTCTGATATGATCTTCTTCAAGTCTATGATGTACCTTCCCAGCTTTAATCCTCTGACCTCTTTGAACCTACGTGTGAAATGCTAAGTCGTTGACTTAGTGAGGAAATAATGAGCATACAAAACATTTAAAACACTTACATACCGAAAATAATACACACTTCATGAAAACCATGTAAATTGTTACACATTGCTCAATGTATATCAATTTGTTTTATTAGCCCAACGCATATCAGTGAGAACTCAAGGTATGTGAGTACATTAAGGTTGTGTATTATAATTGTAGTCACTATTGTTCATAAAATTTGCACCGAAGTGCCACGTAGAATACACACCGAAGTGCCACAAAGATTTGTCTCGAATGACCGTGTAGAATTTGTCCCGAATGACCACGTAGAACCCTCAAGTTATCGCATGCCAAATATACCTCTAATTCTCATAGCATATACCTTGGGCAGTAACCTTATAGTTATTCGCATAGCATTATTCCAAGTGTCATTTCTTCATATAAACACATGCAAATCAGACATATTATCATAGAGCAATTTCACATGGTACATGTTCACATATAACAGATTCACATACTGATAAAACAAAAACAATACTTCAGAAATACAATTATTATAAAACATCATAAAATATTGCATAAAATAAATAAAATTGGTTTCAATCAGAAACCTTTGAGGTTGTCTTATCACAAGATGTCCTCATGTCTAATATATAATAAATAAATTGTGGTCACCTTTTCCTCACTAAGTCTTAATCGTAATCCTTTTTAACTTTCGTTCAATCTCATACCATGTCGACTTGTTCGGTACCTTTTTTATCCAAATCTACACATCAACATGTCCAAGAAAATATCAAATCTCAATTAATGGCTAACCAATTAACATTTAAAAAATAAAATTGTTGAGTTAAAAGATCGACGAAATATAGCCAAGAGGGGGGTAAATTGGCAATTAAAATTTCGGTGGAAGCTTTTGCATAAAATTGAAAGTATTTGCACAGCGATTTAGAGTGGTTCGACTTTCTCAACCAAAGTCTACATCCACTACCTTAGCTATCCACACTAAGGATTTTCCACAAATTCACTAATTTGTCTTTCTTTTGAGGACAAGAGTAACCTTACAAATCCCTCAAGAATTATACCCCAAATTCTTGAGAACACACTCTCCCAAAGAGAACAATACAAATTTTGCAAACTTAGAAGAAAATCCTCACAAGGAAAGATGTTTGCACAATTCTATAACAAATAAAGAACACTTAAGAATAATACAATTGAGCACAATAAGTGTTCTTGAAAGCAAGGATGAATATTGAATGAAATTTGGCTTGAAATTGCTCAAACTTGAGGTTTGATGCTTTTTCTTTGATTCTCTCTTGATTCTTATTTCTTGTTGTTGATCAATGGCTTATAAGCTTGTTTAAATACTCCTTCAATTTATGAATGTTGGGGATCATTAGTGGAGTAAATGGAGTCGTTAGTGTGTGAAAAAAATTAATAAAATATGTTGGGAGCGTGGGTACATCGATGCAAAGTCAAGATGCATCGATGCATCAAGTGTAAAATTCAAATATTTGATCGTTGGAACACTTAGTTCATCAGTGCACTAAGGGTGCATCGATGCATAAATTGCTTTCAATGTTTCAAACAAGCCTGGAGTGCATCGATGCATGGTATGTGCATTGATGCATAAAATGCATTCGATGTTTAAAAATAGCTGAGGTGCATCGATGCATGGCTTATACATCGGTACACTAAATGCATTCAAAATTTAATTTAATTAGGAGTGCATCAATGCATGTCATGGTGCATTGGTACATTCTTTAGAAAATTGAATATTTGGCTCATTTTTTGTTCGAAATCAAATTTTATTACTCCCCCTTTTTATATAACAAAACATTTGAGTAAATTTAAGATTTTCTATGAAAATTATTTTTGAAATCAATTTTTATTACTCCCCCTTACTATAATGCATCTTACTTCTCCCCCCCTTTTGTTAAATCAAAAATACCCATAAAATGTTTTTAAAGAAAATTATTTAAAAACATAGCTAATTGATATTTGTAAATATAACGTAAGCTACTAAGATCACAATCAAGAGAAAAGTTAGCGATTAGTTTCATAATTCAATATTCATATTAAACGAATGTGACATGGTAAAATTGGTCATATGCTAAATGATGCAAAGATCTAATAAACCAATATAAGTTCAAAACCCAAATATATAAATATAAGTTCAAGCATTCAAAGTTAAACATCCAAACAACATAAACAATCCACAAACATTCAAAATGTTGAAACAATAAGTTCTAAATTCACGAAAGCAAAAGCATGGTAGGGTCTAGTCGTCCATAGGAGGAT